AGAGAAACATAAAAGCAATAAGTTATGACTATCCTCTATTTTTTTTTTAAATAGATGAATATTAATGGATCAATATTAGTCCAAATTTATACAATGCCTTTTAACTACATTATCGTGTATACAAGTTTTTGGATAATATTATGATAATAAACCAAAGATTGATTTTTGATACCTGAAGCAGGCTATTAGATAAATGTGTTATGATGTAAAATACAAACAACTTTGTGCAAATTTATTAAGCGGAATTCAACATGCAGACCTTTTTAAATCTATAAAAATACATTGACTGATCAAGGAATTTCTTCAAATGCTAAAATTTATAATCGTTTTCAACAATATTTTGCAGATTTAAACCAAGATGCTCCAAATCTGCAAGCTTCCCCTGTCATCAAGAAACTAATCGATTTTTCTGTGGCCGTGATGATTTTACCCAATCACTATAGTTAATTCGTTGCTTGTCCATAGAAATAGATAAAGCAATCATTTCAACAGCAATTTGCGCCATCCCTCTACATTCTATCGATGGATCAGCTTCAGCTAGTCTCGTAGCATACTCCATCCAATCTATTATATCGTCTGAAAAAAAAGCAGTTGTTATAAAAAATAATTTAAAAATAAAAGAATTTAAATAAATTTAAGTAAGATGAATTTAATAGATTCTGAAAACTTTGGATTTCAGTTATTTTTTAAAAAATAGCTGATTATTTTAAGCGAATTTTGGAAATAATAAACGGACTGTTTTAGATAACAGTCCTTTCTCTGATAGCAATAACAATGATCACATCAATAGTATCCACAGATTATATTATGAAACAAAAACATATTATTTACCTGAATAGAACTGCAGTATTACCTCCCTCGATAAGGACGCACAAATAGAAGCATAGCAAAAAAGTACAGCTTGTCTCACCGCAAAATTCGTATTAACTCGCAGCGGAATGAGCAAATAAGCCAGGGTACTGCAACAGAGAAAAATTTCATTTTGTAAAAAGCAAAAAATATAGGAAGACAGAGTTCCTTACAGACAACTAATACGAAGCCTCAACATCCAATAACATGTTATTACATAATCATTTAAAAATCAGTTTTGAAGAATGTAGCATCGTGGGCTTCGTCATATGATTTGGATAGATGCTCGGAAGGAGATTAAATTCGAATTAAGTATACATAGCGTTTTAAGAGCTTTTAGATTGTAAAAGATAAGTTAAGGAGGTACAAGCATCTTTGATGCAAGGAATTGGACTTTGGACCATTCTGAGTGTGATTCGATTTTTGTAACTAGAATTTGAAACGAATAATTTTGCAATTATCTGAAGTAGAAACTGAAGTAGAAATCTTTTATCCGATTAATATACCTGGCCATTTTAACAGTACTTGGAGAAGTACCAGAACATCTGATCAAATGGCCCATACAGACCAAAATCCTACTCAATAATTCTGAATCTCGTCCCTGAAATAAAAAATCCACTCTCTATACTAAAAAATTTTTAACCACAGTCTGAGCTTCAATAATAATTTATTTACAACAATATGGTGTAACTACTGCAAAAAAATAAATAAAAACCGAAAGCAGATTTTACAAAATAAAAGACTAACAATAAGATCAAGATGTTCACGATGCTGGTCAATTGCAGTCAAGGGATAGAAAAAGGAATTTGCCATTGGTGTAAATCTGTTTTCTTTCAGCACCGTAACTGGTGCTTTCATGAAACGTTTTGTTTTGGGAACCAGTCCTCTATCGTTCAAACCCTTGCTGCCTGAGAAGACATAAATAAATTTACATTTGTCAAAAGCTTAAGAAAAAGTTTGTTACCGAAAGTCCCCAAATTACATAACTAAAAATTTTAGCAAAATCGCTCAATGTCAAATTACTGCAGAGAAGATTTAGCTTAGCTACACAATATTCAACATTACATTTGTTTTCTTGAAGTTTGGTGTTAAGGTTTTCAGCAACTTGGGTTGGAGATGAATATTCCCATGCCGCGTTGCACAGAGCCTTTAAAATAACATATCTATTTGACATCGAACATCTGAAAATGAAATGACAGAGATGAATAAGCAAAGAAACTATATGCTCTTTAGAACAAAAGATTTCAAAAATACACACAGCAATCAAATTCAGACAAACCTCCTCGAAAACATAATATCAATAGCAATGCTACCCAAGTGTGGACTCGTTACCAAACACGATTGAATAAGCTGTATTCGTTTCTCCTGCAGATAATGTGTAAATTTACAAAATATGAACTGGTGTTTTTCAAAAATTCTTTAACTTATAACAAAAAAATAATTCAACTCCAAAACTCGTTACCTTTGGAATAATAACTTTGTAGGGCCTTAGGCGATAGTCACAAATGTCAAAACTACATCAAAATTACGTAACACTGAGATTTTAGCAGCATTTGAACAATCAATGGTATAACACAATGTACTAGTTAATATAAATACCTGGAAATGTTCAGTTTTGAAGTGATCACTAAGATCGATAAGTCGGCAAAGTAATTCCTCTGCAGACTGTTCATAACCAACAGCTCGTCGTCTGAAAAAAAACCAAAATAGGCAGAATTGTTATCATAGATATTTAATATACCAACCAAATTAAATTACAAAATGAGATTAGGAAATTGATTTTTCGCGATTAGAAGTGAATAGTATCAATGCGAAATGATATCGCATTGTTACTATTTCGATCTATTTTTTAAATCTTCACTATTCCAACTCACTTCTTTGCTGAGTGACTAAAAAATGTCGTCAATATGCCTGTTTAAAAACAAAATCAAAGATTAAATATGTTACCTAATCATCGGTTTCAAGGCGTTGAATGCAGCTTCAAATTTGGCATAATCGTGCTGTTCACTGAGGCCCTCAATACAATCTCTGATATAGTATGGTACCTCTACATTGCAATAGTCTTCATCATTTTCATCCTAAAAAATAAAACTAGAGATTAAAACAGAAATGAAGATAATTCTAAACTTTAGATTGCTTGAACAAGCAAAAATTTTTTTTAAATTTACAGTGAAGAAACATGTTATTTTTATTATAAGCATAAGGCTTTGAAATTTAACAGAAGTGTCTGTATACATTAACTATGCAAACCTTTTTCAAATCCAATTCTTCCTCAGGGATTTCATACTCAGGGAAGTCATCATCATCACTATCCACTTTGTTTGCATCATTCCCCGCACCCTGTATATCCAACTGTATCACTTCCTTCTCTTCATTGTCACTTTTAGCACCTTCCATATCAACACCATACTCATCCTCCACGATTTTCTTCAAGTCTACGATAGTCTCACTTCCTTCAGGAGGGAATTCAAATTTCAAGTCACCCACGGAAAACCACTTCGTAAGCACTTCTAAAGAAATACATAATTCCAAAAATATAATATCAATTTCTCTGCACTATTCCATATAATTTCATTTCCAGCTGTAAAATCTATTTCTGAAAAGAAGAATTCATTCCATAGGCTCTTGAAATGCAAAAAGGCAAAATAAAATGGCAAAAAATGCTGACCTGCTACATACATTCCTCTTAGTCTGCGTCGAATGTCCGAGCA